TCCTTCTACCAGGGTGGCAGATATTATAGGCAAATTTCCAAAAAAGCCAGAGAACCAAATGACTGTCTATTTATCTAATGACATATCTGTGAATATCTTGTGAAAAATCAATCAGTCGCCCTGGTAGAGGGTAGCAAATGGCAGTCGTAGAACTACCCCTGGTCAAAGATGACATTGGTGTACTCTCTCTCTCTTCTCTCCTTCTCTCTGACCCTAGGACACTTGGACAGCTTTGGAACACCACTACTCACCCTCACGTGAGGGAGGAAAGTAGACAAGATATCTCAAACATTGCTTGTCCCGTGAGTCACGGACCAGCTTTCGGCGGTTGTAGTGTTACCTCCTGTTTTGCGGTCGTTTCTGCCGTTCCCGTATTGGTTTCCACGGGCACCCCTGCATGTCTGTAGATGTTTTTGTCGACCCCTACAGACTACCTATAACAGGTACAGTTTAATACCTGGCATATTTTTCTTGAAGACATGCCATTAGCAACAAGTTGCATAGACCCCACGCAAAATAAGAGTATTCCACTCATTCACAGCCGCCAGTCTTGTCAGAGTCGCAGGATTACGGGGTTTTATCGTTATTTTATTGTAGTTGTAGTTATAGTTGTAATAGAAATACTAGTTTTTAAGGGGATTTTTATTTTTATTATTATTTTTTTACAGCGATCTTTGTCTTTTGTCCATCTTCCAAGTTAGAAAGGACAAGCAGGACAAGAGTCATCAAACGTAAAGCATACAATATTAAACTTGCAAGTTTGTTATTTTTATTATTAAAATTATTTAACACGTGTAATTATTCCGCAAAAATTAATATTAGAGACGTCAGTACCACGTCAATAGGGGCAGCACTAGTGGAGAAAAAAATACTGGGTTTATTTAGATTGTTAATTAAGTTTGAAATGGTTTCATATATGCAACGTTTTATATGATCTAGAATAATGGTTCACAAAAAAAAAAAATTACGCCGTAAGTTACGAGAGGCTATCAGCATGAAGCGTCACCAGCCACCCATGAATAGGAACGGTGGGCGGGGGGGGGGGGGGGGGAGGGGGGGGGGCAGGGTTCTATCTACCTAACGTTTATAAGAGGGTCCTGGCCGCTATACCACTTAGCGGTCAGTGAGTAACAACTTCTACTCACATCAGTCTGATGAGGGCCTACGTCCAGTACAGGTTTAGCGTAAGCTAACAGTTTGAAAGCTTTTCAACTTGTGTTTGATAATTTTCATGTATGATCCAACTACCAAGCTAATGAACATTTTTACTCAAATAAAATGTGGTGTCATGTTGTGTGGGCCTGCTTTAAGAGTTCTGACAGACCGGGTGTATCGTTATGTTCTCCTGGCGATCTGGTTTGTATTGCATTTAGCTAAACTCTTGATTAAATGTTTGATGGCAGTATGCTAGACCTCAATCCATTTCCATTTTGTAAAAACAAAACAGACAGATTAGACTTACGATAAGATCACCTCGAACTTTTCCGCGAAAAAAAATATTCCAAGAAAATCTGATTGCGAAGATTTTGGGAGTAATGAGCACAATCAAAATATCTACCCGGCTCATCTACCACAATTTGCGCTGATGGATCATTTATCTCTAATTGGATTTTGTGTCAGCTGATATCTTGTTCAAACATATCATGGTTCTTTATCTGAAACAGACTTTTAGACCACCGCACTTTGCTATCTGGTGGCACGCAATCATCCCTACTATAAGAGCTCTGCTCTTGGCGATCAATCTCACTTCAGTCAGACAGGTTTGTCAATACTGAAGACATCATCTCCAAGGCAAGGAGCTGTTTGTTAATACACCGGGCTTGTGTACCATTACAAGAGAATAACAACAGGGCTTAAACAGAACTGGGACAGCAGATATTCTATCTTAATACTTCACGACTGGATATTTTCTGAATAGTGTTATTAAATTGATATCGAGTATCTCATTTATATAACTTATATCTTTATTGCACATTTATTGCTCTATAAAGATGTGAGAATCAGGATTAGATTGAACAATCTATTGTTTAGATAACTAGAAACATGAATAGCTAAATTGAATATTAGTCATTTGCATTTACATCATCAATCTCTCTTTTTTGGGAATTTCAATATTAAGGTGTGTATGTGGTTTTTCTTATTCTTCCTCCAATTGTTACCCTGTTAACGACCTTTTTCTTTTCCTTCGTTTTTTCCGGTTTAATATCGCGTTTCCATATTTCAGGTAGCTTTGAGATTCCACTTTCTCCTGGTAATAGTACTTTAGAAGGCGAATCGATAGTATTTTCTGTAAGATGATCGCGACCGTCTAGTGATGAATCTTCTTTTTCCAAGTCTTCGACAAGTTGTTTCAAAAATCCACTTGATCCACTCCCAGCTTTAGTCACAGGTTCTGAGAAGTGAGTTTCTCGTGAATTAGGCGCACTACTGCGAGACTTGATAGAAAGACGCTTAGCACTGTTAAATGTTTTTTCAATCTCCCCCTCCTGGTTCAACTGGTCATCTTCTTCCTTTAACGACATGTTTGTTGTCTTTAAATCTACAGATGCTTTCTCCAAATCGTCCGCTGTCTTTTCGTCGTCTGAAATCTGGGGGTCGTAGTTCTTATCAACAAGAGATCTGTACTTACTGTTTTTCAGAACTATTTTAGCGATTTGGTAGGCTTCGTTATCTTCAGCCTTTTTGAACCTTTCCAACAGATCCGCGTGGGCTTTATGCATCTTCCTGTATCTGTCTTCGTCGTTGGACATCTTTGCGTACAAAACACTTAGAGATTTCGATATGTTATTGACTCGTTTAATTTTGTAAAGGGTGCTTGTCTTTATTGAAAAATTGCTAAATTCGAAAGAAAGGTCTGAGCACGTACGGCTCGGTGCATGCGCAACAGTCCTCGGCCTGCGTTCACTGTTAGAATAGGCTGTCGGTATGGCGGGAAGGCTTTTCGTGGCGGAGATCACAGAACCGGCAGCACCGGCTGCAACACCCAACTCTTTAGCAGACACTGGTAAACTGCCCTTTCTTCTCTGTCTGTTATGGTACTGCTCGTTTTCTCTGAGAAGTGCCACGGCAGAGCTTGAAAATGGTCGTATTGCAGCCAAGGAAGGCGTTCGTGCCAAAATATCACTGAGATCATTTTTTACGCTGGCTTTTTCGTGGCGGTGTTTTCGTCTTGTGACGTCTATTGCTCTGTCAATAACTCTAAAATTCAAAAAATAGATTTAGTAAAAATAAAAATAATGAAAAAAAATCTCGAATAGTGCTAAGCAGTTTTATCTGCGTATTGGTTTGAAGGAATAAATAAAATCATTGCTATTTAGGGGGTATTTCGTCTAATGTTGTTTATTAATTTTTTAGTTTTAATGACACAAATATAATACTTTTGGTAGTAAAATTTGTAGAAAAATTAACTACATACTCATTGTGCTGAAATCAAACACAAAATCAAAAGTAATGAAATTAAATTTGAGATTTGCTGACATTTGTGGACTTTACGTTCATGGCCAACATTTAATCTCTTATTTTAAATTTTGTCTGCCAGTGCAATATTTTTAGGTATCGTTATAATCTATGTATTAATAATTATCATTACAATTAATTTGGAAGTATTGTTTGTCTTTCAGCTTTTGCAAGCATTTCGTCCAACACTGAGATCACATATTAAACATGTAATAGGATGTAAGCAATGACGTGAAGTCATACATGTACCACAGCACTATAAAATGTCAACTGTAACCGTATCCAAGCAGACACATGGTCATTTGCAAAACACAAAAGATAACTTTTTCGTGACTTTGGTTTCGAAAAGATGTTACACTAAACACGAACGCTTCTTAAGTAGCTCTCAGGGTTTCTGCGTTAAATTTGCAATAGTGCTTAATTGTGTGTTGGGAAGTCAACCGAACATCATGTTAATCCTCATAACACACATTGGATACTGCGTGCGTAGGTATTGGAAGAAAAATAAACAAAATTTAATGGAGGTAGAAACCAAAATATGGAATTTCTTACTTTGTCTGGGCTTTGAGATGCTTCTCTTCTCTAGCATTCGTCTTTCTTGTGCGTAGAAATTCTTTGACGTCCAATATAGCGCCATGGCTGGCGTCATGATACAGATGACCTACGTCGCTCATTACTGGTGTTCTGGGTGTTTTTGAGAGACAACTCTCTAATCCTTAAAATGTCAGTATCTGCTTCTTGTGGTTTCTCTAGGCATCCTGGCTTTTATAATTCTCGTGTCAGTTCTGTCCTTTAAGTTAACCTTTAAGTAGGTTTAAAGTGCTGTCTTCCAAATATATTTGACAAAGGACTCTCAACTCATGTTTGCATTGGTTTCTATGCGTAAATGACAGTCATGTCATTCGTGCTGTTTCCGGATGTCAGTTTGTGCCTGTGGTTGTCACATTTTCAACCCTTTTAGCAAGATACCAGACGTGATTTCAACGTATAAAAACTAGCATGTGCCTAACTCTTCAGCGTCTGTTTTTAGTGGTTTTTATACGCTACGTCACTCGTGCTAATTCTGTCGTCCAAGTGGTATCTCCCTATAGAGTAAGCTCCCCTATCAAGGTATGGTAATCTGTGACACGCACACCGTAAAATTCCTGTCTCGGGCTATCAGCTTTAGCCGGTACAATAGGAACCTTGTCTTAAGTCGAACATTCGACAAACAATTTGGATATGTTCATTAAGATGTGTCAAATTCTTTTAAGGGGCGTCTTGTCGTTGACTGGAAAGTTTGACTCTTTAATGAATTTCTGTCCAATAAGGAAGATGCATAATCTTTTGAAGATATCCACTCATTTCTTAGAACCCGGGGGAATTCATTCCCCATTCAGTTTCCCTGTTTCTGTAACTATAGCTCACCTAAAATCACCTGATCAGCTCGTCAGTCACGACTGCGTCATTTTGTGGTGGCATTAATGGGAATGGTTTTCTGTCATACCCCTGCAGACCAAGCCTATGGCCTACCATTTAATCCTTCGTCCAGTATCAATGTCAGCAGAACCAATCGGGTTATCTATTGCTTTTCTAATGCCGACTGAGTCTAGTCCTTGCTTTATTTCCTCGTTTCTTTACCTTAAATTCCCGGGTTGATTAGACAGGAAGATTACCGGGCTTTTCTGCACTAAACCCATATTGATGCCATACAGGGGAAACAATCTCCAGATAAAAAAAAAAAAACTTTACAAATACGCTCAGCTATCCAACCTCCGGCAATGTTCATTGTATACTAAAGTATTCTTTAAACAAGCCAGGTAAGAGAAGCTTAATGGTTTCTTGATTAAGGAAGAACAAAACGAGCAACGGGACAGTTCGCTTTTACGTCCTCCATATATTTGAATAGGATGATTGGAGATTTATGAATCAATAACTCGACCTATAATAATGCGATGCCGTTTTAGTAACGCGAGAAGAATGTGTACTCAGTGATAAAATGCTCTCAAATTGAATATGGCTGTCAACATCTAGGAACGATAAGTAGTTGTAAATCTTTGACAAGTTTATCCTTGCCTCTAGAATAGAACTTATAATGTTTAGATATAGCGCTGTAAGTTATTTGCAAAAATCATTTTTTGTTACGAATCCGTGGGCTACTTAGTCTGTGGCAAATAAATTGAATAACTGGATAAAAGGTGATTTTATACGCACAAAGGGAAATTATTTTACGCCAGTTTGAATTTCAGCTGACATTTTAAGATAATTAAATTCCCAATTCAAAGGTTTTTAATAAAAAGGACGGTGAAAGTCAATACTCTAAAGTCTGTTGGTTTATCCCTAACATGGACGACCTTCAGGGGGTGTAAGGATTTAAGAAAATGCTAAAAGTTTGATTTTAGACCATAACCAAAAGATAATTTTTATTTCAAAAATTTCGAAACAAAAATAAATAAATGAATTAAAAGCGACTAAGTGTGCCCCCTCCCTGCAATTATGCATTATCCACTAATATAAACAACAACAGAACTTCCTACATACATGTGTTTTTGCATTTACATTTGAATCAGCTCGTCAATTTTGACTATATCAAACATTTCGCCTCCTTGTCCATTACTTGATCTCGTTGAAAACAACAACAACAACAACAACAACAACAACAACAACAACAACAATAATAATAATAATAATAATAATAATAATAATAATAATAATAATAATAATAATAATAATAATAATAAATCAATTAGATTAGAAAATAGAAAAAGGTTTTAAGATTTATTTCCTATGAATTATATCTTTTTCATTTTAAATTGCGATGGAAGTATACTTCACTTTTTCGTTTTAGACAATAGAACTCGAAATGTTTGCGATTTATTATATACTTAATTAAAAAAACTTTTAACGTTGAAAATATTTACGTATGTATTAAACATTCCCATATAGTTTATTGCGATCCATTTTCAAGGTAAGAAAATTGACATTCGCTTAAAAATGTCGTTTTCCACTTATTGTTTGTTTATTGTCAATAATTAATCTCCATTGCTTTTCTGTGTAGTTTGTTAGAATCTAAACCGCTAGATGGCGTCTTAACACACTTCTTTTTATCTTAGCAAAACAATGAAAAACTTAGTTACATAGCCGGATTTGTAAACTTTGATATTTCAATTCGTATTGATTTTATCATGCACGAAGAGAGAAAATACTTGGGTGAATAGGCCGATAGTTATTCAAGCAGTGGATTAATGCATTATAAATATGAATGAACGAACATAGCAATACTTGGGCATTGAAATAAATGGGTCTGTTATTTACTCTTTCACCGGTTCTGTTTATTTTGAATTTAATCGTTGGTTGGATTCAGTTCGTTGCAATGCATGTAGCACCTTTTGACTCCAGCATTCTGGAACAAGAAATCATGACACGCCGTTGAAGAGTTTCTCGCCAGTAGACTTTTTAATTCTCCTTATCGTGACAGGCAAGTAAAACGTCTTAATTTGTGATAAACGACCCTTCACACGTACAAGTACAAGTCTTGTCGAGATAAAGTCGTGTGAAGAATCTGTAAATCCTAATTAAATGTCGCCTTAGACGTTGTAGGTTTCTTCTTCCTTTACATATGCTGTCGAAACTAAATAACGCTAATAGCCCAAAGCTGGTAGAAAAGGTAGACTGAACTTTAAAACAAAATTTGCTGTGTACAAAGTACAAAGCAAACAGACCCCCGTCATATATTAAGTAATCAAAGATAAGCGATCCCTACATTTGACCTATTTACTATTAAAAAAATATTTATCCACTGCTGCCAGGCGTGGGTTCAATAAAGGTTAGATACGACT